CAACTTCTCACAGAAGGTCACTTCCCAGAGAAGAATGCTGAACATGTAGGCAGTGGATGAAAAGGGTTCCTGAGTATCTGAGAGCACATGGAGGTAGTATCTGATGGAGTGCCTGGGAAGAAGAACTCTCATTTCAGTGTAGTCACTGAGGGCACGAAAGGTAAATGGATGGAGTTATGAACAAAATGAAAAATCCTGTTTTACCATATGATTAATTCAGTACCTGTAGCTCATGGGCCACAATGTTGTGGATTAAAGTCCTACACTGGGACTTGGGATCATTTCCCTTAAAATGAGGCACATTCAGGGACCTGAAGGTGTCTCACAGCCTGTGAGCTAAAATTGAAGTAGAAGGATCTCTTTGGTGGTAATAGCCATGAGAATGGGGTCCAAGAAGGGTGGTTTGGCCATATCAGAACCTGTTCTTCCAAAGACTTGAGTGATCCGTGAGGCTTAGCTGCCTGGTGGGATGCTGGAAACCCTGATTGCAAGAATCACAGTAAGCCAGCTGCTAGGGCAAGATCATCAAAGGCTTCATTGAAGCATATAATTTCTTGCCTGAAGGAGTTGTCCAGTCCTGTCACTGCCAAGGCAGTGGTTGCCAAGGGCAGTGGTGAAGTCCCCATCACTGGAGGGATTTAAAAGCCATGATTCCATGATTCTATGATGTTTTCTGTTCAGTAGGTAGATATCCATCTCTAGCAGCACGGAGGTTGTCAATAAAAGGTCCCATAAAACAGCAGGACATAACCTGCCCCACCATCTTCTATCCTGGACCTCCTGCTTTCATGGGGACCTCCTCTTCGAGGTCTTTGATGCAGTTCTCTTGATGACAGGATTGACCACAGTAGCACCAAGTACTGGAGATGCAGGATGTTTTCAGAGGAATCCAGCGCTGGATCTTCCAGAAGAACTTTGCACAGAGCTTTCCCAACAGAAGGACTGGATGTGGTGCATCTCCCTCTGTTCCACAGTCTTTGACAGATGGCACAGTGCCAGACAGATACTAAGGGTGGGTCTGTCCTACCTAATGACCAGAGGTGGGAGAGCCTGGGTGGGTGGCCTGTGGCCACATCTATTCTGGGTGTCCCAGGCCATGCACTTGGCCTCACGGGGCTTTTCTTGCAGCCAGACCATTTCCTTGCTTTGCATTTTGCTGCCGCCAGAGAGGGCAGTGGTAAAGGTCCAGGTTCTGAAGCAGAGGTGAGAGTGGAGCTAGGCATGCTGAGCAGCCCTTCCTAGAGCTGCTGAAGGAATTTCAAGATACATTTTGTGCCCTGTTCCTTATCAATGCTCCTAAGGTAGTCCAGAAAGATCTATAAGCTTGTTGCAGCACTTCTACATGGGATGTCCTCATTGATGGGGCCTTAAGGAGCAGTGTAGCAAGACAGTGTAGACATGTCTCTTCTGTACATGGAGCAGATATTTGGATCAGTGTCTTTTCCCTGGCATCACATTATCTGTTCTCAGATCATAGTGTGGCCTGGGGGCAGGGCAGGGGGTGCACTACCATGGAGGCCTAAGGATGACACGGTGAGGTTGTCTCACTGGAACTGTACTGAAGATTGTGGGTTATCTCCCATGCTGACCCTTCAAACAAAAATCAAAACTACTTAGTGAACTTAGAGAAAACTCAGGCTCATTGAAGATATTTGTGTGGTAGAGAGTGAGCACATCTGTGATGAAAGTCTGCTCTGGGCTTTGTGGCTTCCACTGCTGATGTCTGAAAGTAGGTGAGGTGATCCACCATCAAGATGTCAACCTGTTGGAACAAGTACACAGGAGGCCATGGAGATGCTCCAGGGGCTGGAGAGAGGCTGAGAGAGGTGGGGCTGTTCAGAAGAGAAGGCTCCAGGGAGACCTTAAGCCCCTGCCAGTGTCTAAAGAGACTCCAAGAGACCTGTAAAGGGACTTTGGACAAGGGCCTGGAGTGACAGGACAAGGGGGAGTGGCTTCCCATTGATAGAGGGCAGGGTTAGATGGGATATTGGGAAGAAATTAATCCTTGTGAGTATGCTAAGGCCCTGGCACAGGTTGCCCAGAGAAGCTGTGACTGCCCCATGCCTAGAGGTGTGGCTTAATTGGTCACAACCTGGTCTAGTGAAAGGTGTCCCTGCCCATGGCAGGGGGCTGAAATTAGATGAGCTTTAAGGTCCCTGTCTAACCCAAGGCATTCCAGGTTTTCATGATGCCCATCCTTAGTGCCTCTTCTAAGCCATCAGGTATGATCATGGCTGTACAACTCAATCCACTCAAGAACCTGTGCATTGCAGCTTCTGATGGCTGAAAAGGGGAAGGGTCATAATTGGAAATTGCTATTTGCAGAATGAGAACCAGAACCTCTCAACCTAAATATTATAGAACAAACTATATTATCTAAATATGGATATAAATGAAATATGGATATTAATGGAGTGCAGATGTAAATGAGCTCTGTATGCTCACAAGGATTGCCTGAAAGGAGAGTGGAGCCAGGTGGGGGTCAGTCTTCTCCCAGGTAACAAGTGACAGGACAAGGGAAACAGCCTCAAGTTGCACCAAGGGAAGTTTAGGTTGGATATTGGGAAAATTTCTTCCCCAAAAAGGTTGTCCAGCTCTGGTACAGTCTGCCTTGGGGAGTGATGGAGTTCCCATTCTTGAAGGGTTTAAAAACATTTGGATGTTTGAGATAGGGATGTGGTTTAGGGGGGAATGATGCCTAAGATTTTTACCTTTTTATATATTTTATATATTTGTAGCTTTGTAGATTGCTAAAGCATAGTTATAGCTTCTAGTGTTTTTCCTATCTTTCCTCTATACATTTAGGAATGATATGCTAACCTTTTAAACACATTCCTAAGTACTGTTTAGTCCTATTCCAAGAAGAGAACCAGCTACAAGGACATTCTCTTTTCCAATCAGAATCTGGACCAGATATAACAGAAGTGGGGCAAAAGAAACCCCTGGACTGCTTCCAGTGGAGCAAGACCCCAGCAATTATTGCTTAACCAATTCATCTTTTAATTGGACAGTATATGATAAGCACACTAATCAACTAACTTTATAAAAATCATAGAATTAATATACCACATGCAGTTTTCACCACATTGTGTACCTGAAAGCTTTCAAGTAAAGATTTGCTTTTATATTCACTTTAACATTGTTGGAAAGATCTATTATATTTTCCAGGTATCAGTGAGTGACAGTGCTGGGGGAACAGTTGGACTCAATGGTCTTAGAGGGCTTTTCCAACCTAAACAATTCCATGATTCTATCTCCTGCCCCCAGTCTTGGTGCTGTGCTCACTTGAGGTGATTTTATACATGGTGAGGAGCACACCACTGCTAGTAAAGAGCTGGCCTCTGCTATACCATGTTGAAATAATAAGATAACACCCTTGATTCTGCTAATGCATTTATAGGGTAAATGGAAGAGGAGCTTAAGTTAAATTCCAGATGTGACTTGACAAGCCACAGCCTGCAGGTAGATGTCAAGCTGTGGCACACATCGTTGTCAGCCTGTGAGCCATGTCACTGGTGATGAATGCTAACAAATCAGTTACTGTCTAGTTGTCATGGGAAGCTTGCATGCTGAAAAAGAAATTAAGAATTAACTGGCTTTAAGCTGCTTTCAGAAGGAGTGAGAAATTTAATTCTGACCTGATGATTGTTTGGATTCAGAAGCAGAGAGTGAGGACTTCCACACCAAAATGGCCTGGGCAGTGCGTCCTATGTCCCACTGCAGCATGTTCATAATGTGCAACATTTGCTGGCAGCTCAAAATCCAGCATGTCCTGGACTGATCCCCAGCTCTATAGGGCAGCAGGGCAAGGGAGAAGCTTCTGACCTTCTGCTCCACTCTGATGAGACCCCACCTGCAGAGCTGCATCTGGCTCTGGGGTCCAACCTCAGAAGTATGGGAAGCTGCTGGAGTGACAAGGTGAAGTGGAGTGAAGCTGCTTGGATATGCCAAGGAGGTGCTCCAAGCTCTGGACCACCTCTGCTCTGGAGACAGGCTGGGAGAGCTGGGGTTGTTCAACCTGGAGAAGGGAAGGTTTCAGGGACACATTGAGGCCCCCTCCAGTGTCTAAAAGGGCTGTAACGTTCAAGTCATAGAATCACAGGATTGTTTGGGCTGAATGGGTCTTAAAGCCCATGTCATTCCACCCCCTGCCATGGGCAGGGACACCTGCCAGTAGATCAGCTTGCTCCAAGCCTCAGTCTGGCCTGGAACACTCTCAGGGGTGGGACAGCCATGGCTTCTCTGGGCAACCTGTGCCAGAGCATCACCACCCTCACAGACAAGAATTTCTTCCTGCTATTCAGTCTATCCTCTGTCCATGGGAAGCCATTCCCATTGTCCTGTCACTCCAGGCCCTTGTCCAAAGTCTCTTTCCAGGACTTTTGGAGCTGCTTTAGGCCCTAAGGGGCTCTAAGGTCTCCTTAGAACCTTCTCTTCTCCAGGCTGAACACCCCCAGTTCTCTCAGCCTGTCTTCTAGAGCAGAGGTGCTCCAGCCCTCTGATTATTTTCAGAGCCTCCTCTGAACTGCTGGCTGTGGGAGTTGTTTGCACTTGCTGTGTCAGGATGGCACCTTTAGTATCAGAGGTGCAGTTGCTGTACAATTGCCTCCCAAAAGCAGTGTAGTTTTGCTTCCCTTAATCTGCAGAGTGTTACAGTAATCTTCCTTTTTGCAGGGACAGGGGTGGCCTTGGAGCCAAGGTCTGTGTCTAGGAATATGCCTTGTGCTAGAAGCATGGTCTGTGCATGTCACCTCAGAAGGATTGCATATCTCTACAGTGTCACCCCTTCCTCCAGTCCCTCCCCCATATAATTCGTTTTAATCTGTGCTGGTGGAGCTCTGTTTGATGAAATGTTCAGTTGTGGTTGTGGGTTAACTTCCCTGGAATGTTAACATTCCCAGGAATATTTGAAGAGGGCTTTCTGAGCACTTCTCAGTCTCTGAAGGGCTTCAATTCCTCATCTACTACTTCTACCTTACTTTCCTTCTGTTTTGTGACAGTGTGGTAAAGGCTCTGCTCACAGCTAATGCAGATCCAAACCTTGGGGATGATTTCAGCAATGTGTATGAGATTGCCAAAGAAAAAGGCCTCCATTCCTTGGAAGGTAAGATGGCTTGTGTGTAGCTACTGACATTTGCTTTTCAGGTCCCAAAATTTTGTTTCCTGATCTGACCTCATGGGGTTTTTTTAGAGCTTGTTTCATCTTCTTCCTTTTTAAATGCAAAGTAATTGATGGTACTTGGGTGAATGTGTGTCTGAAGAGGAAAGAAACATTACATAGATATTATATAGGAACAATCCTTCAATTTACCAGAGATAAACAGGTTTTATATAGCCAGAGCAAAATACAAAGTCATAGATAGGAATGTCATTCCATTGACTCACATGCAGCCATGTCTTGGGGAAGGGTTCAGGGCAGTGTATTCCACCAGCAGCCTTAATCCAGCCTTTTATCAGGAGCTGTGAAATGCAGACAGACTTGGCCAATTGAAATAAAGCTGAATGATGCAAGTGACTACTGTTGGGTTTGGGCAGGCATCAGTATCAGCTCTCAGCCCTAGATGACTTTCCATGAAAACAAGGTCATTTTCTGCAGAGTCATGTCATCTCATTATGGATATTCTTGGCAGATCTCAGTTTCCATGCTCATCCCTTCATTATCCTCATCACTAGTTGATGCAGACTCAGAATCATAGAATCATGGGATGGTTTGGGTAGGAAGGGACCTTTAAAGCCCATCCAGCCCTGCCATGGCATGGATACCTCCCACCAGGTTTCTCAGACACCTGCTTTGTTTATTCAGACCTATTTAAATTTCTAAGATGGTTTCCACTTTTCATGACAATAAATGGTGATAAAATTTTCTTGGTTTTATGATTATCAGGATATGCCTGGATTCTAGGTGCCCAGCTGTGCTTTGGAGCAGCCAGCTGCATGTTCAGAGATTCTGCTTTTCCTCATGCTGGCAGGAATGATATAGTAGAACTCAACCTCCCTAAAATGTCCCTGTCTTTCCTTCCCCATCCCAGAAGCCTTTTCTCTATCCAGGCACTGTGCTGGCCTGCCAACCTCACCTCTGAGCTGGCAGACCATGGGATGTTTCCCTTGCCCTGCCAGAGCCCAGCCAGCCACTGGCACTTGCATTCCCAGGTACGCCTGCATCCACAGTGGCTGCTTTTGTGTGCTCTGACTTGTTTGGAAGTTAAACCTTGTTCCAGCTGCTCTGGGTGGAAAATGGGAGGAAGTCACATAGTTTGTCCAGAGCCTCAGTCTGTACAGCATGGTTTGCAGAGATTGAGTCATAGAGTCATAGAATAAAATCATGGAATTATTTCGGTTGGAAAAGCCCTTCCAGACCACAGAGTCCAGCCATTCTCCCAGCACTGCTAAGGCCACCACTAAACCATGTCTGCAAGTGCCACATCCACATGACTTTTAAAGCCCTCCATGGATGGGCAGACAGTGCCAGAGCTTAACAACTCTTTCCATGAAGAAATTTTTCCCAATACCCATCCTGAATCTCCCCTGGCACAGCTTGAGGACATTTCCTCTTGTCCTGTCCCTTGTTCCTTAGGAGCAGAGCCTGACCCCCACCTGGCTCAACTCTCCTGTCAGGGAGCTGTAGAGAGTGAGAAAGTCCCCCCTGAGCTTCCTTTTCTCCAGGCTGATCCCCCTCAGCTCCCTCAGCCACTCCTCACCAGACTTGTGCTCCACACCATTCCACAGCTCTATTGCCCTTCTCTGGACATGCACCAGGTCCTTCTTGGAGTGAGGGGTCCAGAGCTGAGCCCAGGTGTGGCCTCAGAGCACCCAGCACACAGCACTTCCCTGGTCAGGCAGCCACACCATGGGTGCTGCTGAAGCACAGGGACATTATCCACGGGCCTGTCTGTGCTTTTGGCTCGGTGCTAAGCTCTGTGAAAGCCTAATGAAGGTGTAATATTTGAGCCTCTCATAAAGCACAGGTTGAGTTAAGAAGATGGAGCAGTGAGGCGACAGCTTTGACAGGGCATTATTCTGTATTTTTAAAAGCTCCGTGCTCTCATCCCTCACTGTGACCCACCCATGCAGCAGACCTACTTCTTGATAGGAGAGAGAGTATACATAGATCATATCCCTATAGCAGGGAATGTAAAATGTATGAAACTGCATTAAAAAATGAGCAATAGAATGCCAATACATAATGCATGTACATAGACTTTATTTAAGATAAAGTGTATCAACCAAGAAAGTTAATTGTTTTTGTCTGCATTCATCCCTCTCTAATGTTATATATTTTGGGGTGAAGAAAAGATAAGGCCACTCCATGAGAAGTTGCATTAATTCTTTCGTTGACATGTTTTATTAAAAAGAATAAATTCAGTTGCGTTTTTAAAAAGAGAGAGAGAAACTGCCTTTGTTTTTTCTTTTTTTTTTAGACATTTACATATTTCGTGTATAAATATTTTTTCATAAAAACATCCAAATCGAGAGGGTGTGCTCCACAACCACTGCACAAAATATATTACAGACATTTATATGGATGGCAGGAAGGGAGACAGAGGGCTGAAAATTTCCAGGCACCCAGTGATGGATGGTGGACGAGGCTTCCCCTGACGCTTTATTGAGTTTCCGATGATTATCTTTCTCAGAGACATTTTTTACAGATGACGGCCGAGCTGTCACAACGGACCATGGGGGAAAAAAACCAACAATAATAACACTTTAATCTCTTTACTGCGCTGCTCCCTAGTATCTCAGATTCATCTTCCCTGACGCACGCAGTTCATTATCCTGCTCCTCCCTGGGTAGGAAATGACGACAAATAAATATACATACTCACCCTGTGTGCTTGGAGAAAGGACCCAGGGAAGGAAAGGAGCCAGGGCATTAATTGATCTTCCTGGAGGGACTGTGGTTCATTAGTGGAGATGCTGGGCTCGGACAGCGTCAGGTATTCATCACAGTGTTTCTCTCTTTGGAACTTTTCAAATCTCCTAGAAATCTTTTGATGGCTCTTAGGAGGGACTGTGAAGAACTCCCTGCAGCCCATCCGTTTTCCAGCTCTGCTTGCTTTGCCATAGCACAGTATAAGGTGCTCAGAGCACTTGGGAGCTCTCCCTGCCCCTGGATCTGGGTCTAATGAGTTTTGGGTACAGACCCTTTCACCAAGGAGCTGGACACACCTCCAGGAGCAGAATTTGGCCCACCAGGTGGGTGGTGTTTATTTGAATGGAGACAGCATACACCAATTCCACCGTCACTCATGCTCCATGGTGGGACAGGTATTTAAGGGGCTTCCTCTGGACAACCTGTGTCATTGTCTCACCACTCTCACAGGGAAGAATTTCTTCCCAATATTCAATCTTACACTGCCCACTGTCAGTTTGAAGACATTCTTACTGGTCCTGTCATTATCTGCCCCTGTAAAAAGTCACTCTCTTATTTTTTTTGCTGATGACTAAAGCAAAGAGTTTAAAATCCAGGTTTTCTAAAGCCTGATCCTTAAACCAGCTACAGGAGAGCAGGGGTGCTGCAGACCCTTCCTTCAGAGCCATGCCCTGCTGAGACACATGGACTTATGTGCTGGAAACTCCCAAAATCAGGAATTTGCTTAAAGGTCAAGCCATAGTGTGGCAGCATTCATTCCTGTCACAGCTTCCCTTCTGTTTGCTAAAAACATGATTTAGATTAGATATTGGTAAGAAATTCTGCCCTGTGAGGGTGGCAATGCACTGGCACAGGTTGCCCAGAGAACCTGTGACTGCCCCATCCCTGCAAGTGTTCAAGACCAGGCTGGACAGAGCTTGGAGCAGCCTGGTCTCATGAAAGGTGTCCCTGCCTATGGCAGGGGGGTAGAACCAGATGAGGTTTAAGGTTTGTTCCAAGTCAAGCCATCCTGTTACCCTACAATAAATGGCTGGGAAAATGCTGAGGTCTTCGCTCAGGTGTTCTCCACCGACCTCCTCCCCTGCCTGGGCACTGTGTAGGCAGTCACTGGGATACATGGAAACCATGTTGTCCTTATCTCTACTGCTGCTCAGTGGAGTGGGGGCAATGGCCACCAGAAATACCCACTGGGGTCCTGGTGGTCCCAGAAAAGGTCCCAAAGTCCTTAAGAAGCTTCCTGCCTGGTGAAGGAAGGGTGGTGGGTCCATGCTGCTGCTGCACATCTAGATGAGCAGTTCTGCAGTTATCTCAGTGAGCTGAGCTTTCACTCTTTGTCCCTGCAGTCCTTGTCACCCGGGAGGATGACTTCAACAACCGTCTCAACGTCCGAGCCAACTTCAAGGGCTGCACAGCTCTGCACTACGCAGTTCTGGCTGATGACTACCTGACAGTCAAACTGCTGCTGGATGCAGGTGAGTTCTGTACTTCCACCCAGCTCATGGGCCAGGAGCACTTCTGAGTCAGCCCATCCTACAAAACTGTCAGGTTCAGACACAGGCCACACTCTGTCACTGTCACAGTTTGGTGTGATTTGCTGTTTGCTTTCATCTCCTTACTTTTTAGTTTCTGTGTTCCCGTTCATTTCCAGTGGTTTTTCTCCATGTGCTTTCGATGGCTCTTCTCACCTTAGTCATTGAGTTTTCCCTTTCCTCCTGCAGTTAAACATCCAGGGAATCATAGAATCTTGGAATGGTTTGGGTTGGAAGGAACCTCAAAAATCATCCAATTCTAACCCTCTGCCATGGGCAGGGACACCTTCCACTAGACCTGGTTGTGCCAAGCTGCATCCAACCTGGCCTGGGACACTTCCAGGGATGGGCAGTCACAACCTCTCTGGGCAACCCGTGCCAGGGCCTTGGCACCCTCACAGGGCAGAATTTCTTCCCAATATCCCATCTAACCCTGCCCTCTGTCAATGGGAAGCCACTCCCCCTTGTCTTGTCACTCCAGGCTCTTGGAGCACTCTCCAGCTCCTTTGGAGCCTCTTTAGGCACTGGCAGGTGCTCTAAGGTCTCCCTAGAGCCTTCCCTTCTCCACGCTAAACACCCCCCACTCTCTCAGCCTGTCTCCAGAGAGCCCTTGGAGAACTTCTGTGACCTCCTTTGTCCTCACTCCAGCAGCTCTACACCCTTCTAATCTTGGGAGCCCTAGAGCTGGACTGGGTGCCCCACATGCCCCCCCTGGTCTCTGCTTAGTATTTTTTCATTTCCCACCTGCAGTATTTACTCAGGCCATCTGTCATATCCCTCATGTCCCTTTGTGGAATGGAAGGGTCCCTGCTATAGCAGGAATGGATCTGCTCTGTAGGCAGGGCACAGGATAGGTGCTGGTACCCAGATGAAATGGGGGACACTCAAGCACTGTTGGCACTGGGACAATGCAGCTCTTGTGAGAATTGGTCAGAATTAGCTTATGCAGTTACTGGCCCTCCTGGTTAAATCACAGGGCCCTTCTCCTCACAGTCTTCTCTTGTATACTCACCTGGGCAGCCTGTTCAGTGTTTAGCTGTCTTCATGGGGAAAAAGCTTATCAGCACTAGTGAAGTAGAATGAGAAGATGCATTTAGCAAACAGAACAGGAATGTGCTGCCCTGGCAATGGTTTTTATATGTACCCTCCTGCTGTTTCTTCTGGGATGATATTTGTGACTCTTGTGCTGTTCTCCAGAGCTGGCATCTGCTTAGTGTGTACCTGCACATGCACAGTGTGCCAGACCACCAAACTGGTCTATAATTCTGCTTTCCTCCAGATGTGATGTCCTTTTTCCCCAGCATTCCTTCTCCTCCAGCAATTTCAGCAGCTCTCCTCCTGCGATGTCCCCAAGGTCACCTGGAGATGAGCCAGCAATCCTGTCCCTGCCTCAGGTGTATGCTGCCAGCAGACAGGTGGAACATAAAGTGGTCACCTGTCACAGCCTGGCCCTACCAGAGACAGGCTCACTAGGGTCTGGTTGACCAGATGCTGATTTTTGCAAAGATTTGAGGAATGTTGTAGCCTTTGTGGTGTGGGCATCTCAGAAGTTAATTCTAGGGAAGCACACAAGTATGTAATGGTATGACGTGGTCTCATAAGGCTCATTCTTTAAGAAAGCAGATAAAAAGAAAATAGAATGTAGCATCTGTGATGGCTAAATGTCCCCAGATGGGATGAGGAAAATTAATTGTGGCAACATTGAACCTTGATACTCATCTGTATTATGTGCTTATTATCTTTCACAAATAGAAATATAAGAGAGTAGGGGTGAGATTCTGTAGCACTGAACTCCAGGTCAGGGTTTCTCTGGGAGCCTTACAGATACCAGAGCCCCAGCTCCTGGCCATAAATTAACCCAAAACCAAAGGAACCAATGAAAGAAGTTCTGTTGCAAAGGCAGGGCTCCTTGCAGGGAAGAGAGCTGAAAAAGCAGGCAGCTGCTCAGGAAGCCAAGGGACTGTGTGGACATTGTGACTGGGAAGTCTTCAGACAAAAATACGCCCCCCCCCCAAGTGGGGTCCACTGCATTTTTCTGACATAGAAGCCCCCCTCCATGTTTGCAGCATGAATGGGCATTGCAGGAACACAGAACCTGGCACAGTCCCAGAGCATATGACTTACTGCATGGCTGTTGCATGGGCCAACAGCACCTGCTCAGCAGTCACTTGGCCATGGGCACTGACAGTCACAAGGTCTCCAACAAGACCTCTGGGATCCCACAGTCGTGGCAGGGATGCCCACAGGAGGAGCAGAGTGGAGCAGGCTTTACCTGCTTGAGCAACGGGTTGTGAATGCACAGACCTGGAAGGGCTTTGTGGGAGAGTGCAAGGGGCTCTGGAGTGTTACAGGGAGTGGCAGTGGGGTAGAAGGGCTGGAAAGGTCCTTGTCATAGCAGTATTGGGAACAGATCTGTGCAGGGAGTCTGTACTGGAGGCTGGAGAGTGTTTGACATATGTCATGGTGTGAATCATAGAATCACAGAATGGTTTGGACTGACCACTCCCAGCTCTCCCAGCCTGTCTCCAGAGCAGAGGGGCTCAGCCCTCAAAGCACCTCTCTGGCCTCCTCTGGACTCACTCCAGCATTTCTAGAACCTTCCGCTGTTGGACCCCAGAGCTGGAGGCTGCACTGCAGGTGGGGTGTCACCGGAGTGGGGCAGAGGGGCAGAAGCACCTGGAATAGCATTTTCTACAAAGATACCTGCTTCTCATTTCTGCCTTGGAAGCCCTCCTTGCATGACACATATTATCAGTTGATTGAAAGTACCAGGGCAGCTCCTTGGTTACCCTAAGTACAGGTAAAAGATGGGTGCAAATAACTGAAGTTGGCACTAAAGAATTTTTCTGACCTGAATAAATCATTGTAAGGAGTAAGTCCACCTTATTTCTCCAGTTGTGCCCTACTTAGCTCTCCAAGTACTCTTCCAATCTAGGCCTCACTTCACAGAGGCAACTGTTCTTTTTGTTCCAGAGATATTTCTGTGTCTGTCCTGGAGCCACTGCCATCCCTGTGAATGGCCCTTTCTCTGCCTGGTGCCCACAGAGAGTTCTTTGTTAGTAGCAAAGTGTCTCAGCTTGAAAGAACTCCCTTGGATCTCAGGAAAAAAAAGCATTTAACAATCTGTGGGACTGTGTTTGTTTGGGTACAAATGGAAGGATTGTGTGAAATCAAAGTAAAAATTCAGAAGTTAGCCAGAGGATGTGATGCTCACTCATCACTGTTCCATTCTTAGTCCAGCCCCACAGAAATCCTTCTGGATCCTGCTCAAGAGCCTCAGAGTTCATTTCCAAGCGGAAATCCTTGTCTTGTAGAGCATGTCCCAGTGCTCAGATCCTGGAGACAGCAACCCACTGGTGGGAATCTCCATTTGGCAATGGTGTGAAATTGCCATTGGAGCCCCTCCCAAGGTTGAGTTCACAGTGTTCCTCAGATTAATCCCTGTTCACCGTCCACAGTACCCACTTACCTTTTGCAGTCATGGTTTAGGATGCAGATTTATGAGGATTATTTGCTAAATGTAATAAACTTCACATTTCTGTCAGGTGGACTCTGAACTGTTGGGGTGACAGCAGACCCTCCCCTGCCCTTTCAGCCAGTTTTGGGTGCTGGAATTGGATTTCCTGATGGGCGCATGATAGGAGGATTTCAGGGCATTCACTGGAGGCGTTCCCCTCCTCCCAAAGCAGGGGATCCCTGCCTCCTGGTCAGTGTAATCTGGGATGAATACATGGCCAAGGGTCTTGGTGTGGAGATCGAACCCCGTTCAGCCCTTTGTGAGGGTAATGCCCCTGTGCTGCCATTGACATCGCACACAGGGTGGCTCCCGGTTGCTGACATGGAACAGGCTCCCCTTGATCTCTCCCTACACCTGCCTTTTACTAACTCTCCATTTACTCTCCCTCTAACTTCTCTGGCTGGTGCTCTGCCCTCGGGCCAAAGCCATTAACTGCCCAGCCCCTCTCTGCTCCAGCCACTTCCTGACCCCCCTGTTGTTTTTAAGGGAAGCTCCCTGCACTTGCCCCTCACCCCACATCCCTGGCCTTTTGTGGCCCATTCAGTGACTCACTTGACCCCTCCAGGACCTTATAGCCCTTTGGTCAGCATGTGTGTGCCCAGCAGACCGCGAGATGAAGTGGCAGCTCTGTTGTCCTTTCGGGCAGTTGTTGGTGACATTTCACAGTCCCCTGACCTGAGGCAACACCATAAATGTCGGTGTTTGGGGAAGGGGTGGGTGAGCGCTCGCATCCGCACAGTGCACCAGTTGCTACTGCAGGCACAATTGATTCCAGGGACTTTGTGTTTGGCTCAGAGGAAGGCAGGCAGGGTCACCAGCTTGCTGGTAACAGAAATCCCCTTGTTTTAGAGGGAGCTTTTATTATTATGTCAGTATTTAAGTGAAATAGCCAGTATTAAAAGGTGCAGCTTTCTGGCAATGGTGTAACCCTGCCATGGAGCATAGCCAACATCAACCTCCCTTCCACAAACGGTTCTGCTCCAGAATCTGTTGCTGAAATGCAGGGAGGCACTGATTCATGTGTCCAGAGTCATGGAGTTTGTTCAAGGGCCGGAGCCCTTCTGCTCTGGAGACAGTCTGGGAGAGCTGGGGTTGTTCACCTTGGAGAACAGAAGGCTCCAGGGAGACATGAGAACACCTGCCAGTGCCTAAAGAGGCTCCAAGATAGCTGGAGAGGGACTCTGGATAAGTGCATGGAGTCACAGGACAAGTCAGGGCTCCCCACTGACAGAGGGCAGGATTAGATGGGAAATTGGGAAGAAATTCTTCCCTGTGAGGGTGGATGGCCCTGGCACAGGTTGCCCAGAGCAGCTGTGGCTGCCCCATCCCTGGTAGTGTTCCAGGCGAGGTTGGATAGGTCCGGGAGCAACCAGGTCTTGTGGAACGGTGTCTCTGCCCATGGCAGGGGAGTGGGATGATGTGGGCT